GCACAACAACCCTCTACCTCTAAGAAATTTAGCCAACTGGAGGCAAGGTGCACTGTATTTATCATTAAGGATAACAATTAGAATACAGCATACAATCAGGTAGTCACCGATCTTTTAAGCATCAGCTCTAATTATATATGAGGTGACCTTCAAGATAGTGTCCACACATTTGGGAAAAACATACACAAATGCATGATTTATAAAGGAATTAAAATTGGAAGTTCTCTGTGCATGCAATGGGAAGGCATTTATTAAAATTGGGAGAGCACATCTACTCTGGCTGCAGCTGAACTAAATTAATACTTGGCTGCCACCTCAAATCTGCTGAAATACATGCACGCCTAGTTACTCTTTCAATTAGTGCTGTAAAACCAGCACACAACAGCTGTAGTAACAAACTTCTGCTACTCTGTAATGTCATTATCAACTAAGAAAAATGTTTCCTTTTAAGATGAAAGAGTTGTTGTCATCTATGCCTTCATCCATACTTCAGAAATAAACTATTTCCTACAGCTGCTTGAAGCAATTGTTCAGACTGCTGTTCCTCCACACAGGTATACGGATGAAAATAGTACTATTGTTTTTTTTCCCCTCCACATTTCTGTGGAAAAAGCAGAACATGACAATGGCCAGTACACATGCAGCTGCTAGAAAAAGAAGGTAGTCACTCTTACAAGTTTTAAACAGATCGAACTTTTGAACTGGAAAGTGTATTTATATTCCTATCTAACTTGAAAAATGAAAGCCCTCGTACTGCTTCTTGTGTCCCTGCTAGTACAGCAGTCATTTGGAAGTGTGGCACTCCTTTTGTCCTTGAACAAACTTCAAACTACTGCCTGAAGATAAAATATTTATGAATACTAAATATCTTACAAAAAGAAAAAAATCTGTAGCAAACTGGATTCTAATCACTGTGTTTACAAATTGCTTACCAAACATTAGGAGCATTTATAAATATACTTCAGGCAGAAGGAAATTTTCTGGAAAAGCATTTTATTTCAAGTCCCCTATGAGCAATAACTGATATGAAACCGAACTTGTATTCTCTGCTCATCTTCCTTTCCATCACTGAATTACTTAAGAATAGGTACTATTTTGAGACAAATACACCAATTTTCTCCAGATGCCATTGCAACACAGGAAGCAAATTGTACTTCCAAGTCATGTAGAAAGATTATATTGCAGAATTTGGATCATGGTTACTGAAGTTATCCTGCTCTTGCTTCTACCACTGAAATGCTCTGCAGCAGATCTGGTGTAAGAAAACTTAAAGAGTTGAAGTAAACAGGTGATTCAGAAAACAGAGACAAAGGCCCAGTTCAAAATTAAAGGTTAACGACTGCAGGTTATGCTTGTCACAAGAAGTATTTGTCTTTTTTGTGCTGGTTATTTCTATGTCCCTCAAAAATGTTTTACCACCTAATATTGCTTTACAGGGAGTAACACAAATGACAAGAAAGAAGTCAAGATGAGGGCTTTTGGTAATGAATGAGGCTGTTGTAATGGACATGCAGCGTGGAAGAAGAGTTGAGGCTGCTCCTGAATGTTAACTCTGAATTTCTTTGTTTTCTTACAATTAAGATTTCAAGACCTCATGAAATTCACTATGTCAGCAAACATGTCTGCACAGCCTTAAGAGATGAGAAACTTCCCACAACCCTGGACACAAAGGTGATTCCTAACCCATAAAATCCTACAAACGCCCAAAAATTTCTTAAGGGTCTAAAGAAAAAAGATGATTCCTGCAAGGAATCCTTTACTGCCATTACCTACTTCTGTGTTTATTCTATAGACATAAACCTGGTTTTAGCATCCAGGGTTGTTATGACAGCATCTCTGATACATATCTTTTTTAAACCTATAGTTTCATAATGTTTCTCATAGTATCTTATGGATAGAGAGCTGCAAGATAAAACCAACATAGTGAAATGAAGGTTTGGTCCGTGTGGACTATTGAATAAGATTTGAAATTATCTCCCAGCAAATGCTCCAAGAAGAAAAACAAACCCACAAATCCAAAACTTAAAAAAACACCCAAACAAGTAAGCAGGATTTAAAAAAAAATAATTAAAAAAATTACATTTTCTTGCAATTTGCAAGGCTTTCAGATAAGGTGGTGAAGGGAGGGATATTAGATTATCTTACCCAGAGGGAGGCATCATGTACACAACCTCAGAAAAAAACATGAAAAAGTCAGCTGGCTCAGCAAGGATTAAGAAATACCTTGATAAACAGCTAATGATATGAAAGGCAAAGCTTTTGGCTCTAGTTCAGAAAAGTAATTATTCCCATCTGGGCACAGAAAGTCTGAAGAAGGGCTACAGTTTCAAATAGCACAGGAAAACTTTCACAGCCTTACAGTCTTTCTTTCATAGCTACATTAGCTGGGTGCACATTGAGGAATATTTAAGTCAAGGGCTAAAAGTAGTTGTATAAACAATGCTCTCCCATGGCACAGGATACCTGTCCTTCCCATCAGTGCATGTAGCAGATGGAAAGAGAGAACACAATTTAAATGGTTGTACTATTGTGAAATCCCACTGCTATAGATGGGCCTTTACAGAGAATTTAATTTCTTTTTCTCATGCATAAAGAGACCTGTCTAAATAGTCATCCACAACAGAGCTTTATAAGGAGTTTCTTCCCTTGACATTTGAAGAAACCACCAAACTTTGAAAAATAGGGCAGCACATCTTGCATTCAAAATCCACTATAGAGTAAGAAAAATTTGCCCATTCTCACAAATTAAGTCAAGTTTTCTTTCATAGCACAAGGCTTGAGTCAGGAAAGGTTTGCTTTCACTGGGAAAATTTATTCTGCTATTTTTCTTGCTGACTTCTTGTTTTATGTGGGTGGGGTAATGTTTTTATTGTTCTGGACCTCATTTTAATTGATGGCAGAATGCCTGGAGTTTGGGATTGGCATCACTTCCATTGTTTTTGTTGAGATAAATAAATGTATTTCCCCGTCTTTTTAAAAAATGAAATACACACCATACTCTCAATTGCTAAAAACAAAGCAGGCTGCTACAAAAAATCCCACAAAACAAACAAAAGCTTTCAGAGGGCACAAACAATCTACCAAACTCCTGCTGCAAGGAATTCACCACCCAAAAGCCTCATCCCTGCTTACTACCCTCTGAAAAACCCTCAAGGACCAAGAAGCAGAGAGATCATAGTGGAGGCCAGCAGCACTGTTCCACTGAACAGTAATGTTTGTGTAATTCTGAGGAGGAGACTGAAGACAGATTTTGGCCTCAACTTCAAGAATCAAGAAGTATGAGGATGGGAGCCTGATAAATGGGTAAGATACATTCTCAAGAGAAAATAAGGCAGATTAAGAACAGCTTGAAAAGGAATTAAAGGGTCTGATTCATTACTGAATGGAGACACACCGAAGCAAATGCTGTAAGGGAGAGAAAGAAGAGTGGTCTATCCAGGCAAACATGGATATTCAAAAATCCCAAATGAAAACCAAAAAACCCCAAGAAAACCAAACCTACAAATATAGCCTTACAGTAATGAAAAACTCCAAAATCTGAATCTTTTGTTCACAGGCAATGTGAAAGCAGCACTTATATCAATAATGAAAACCAACACTAACCAGTCAGGATCTAAGGCATCTCCAGAGCACTTTAATGGAAATATACTGCCAAAATAAGCCCCTTATTATAGAAACATTTGAAATCTATGTTTTCTAACCTAGTAATTAGGAAGTTGCCCTGCTACAGTCTGAGAAAGAAAAAAGGTCCTAGGTTTTGCTCAGCTATTGATTCAATGCCTACTACAATAGTAGCTGGCACATCACTGCTGTTCTGCTATTTCAGGGGAAAAAAAAGAAAAAAAAAAAAAAAGAACCACACACACACACATGCCCCCCACCCAAACAAGCAAGCTGGAATTATTTAAGGAGAAATAAAGTGTCAGCACCAAGCTAAATTGTTCTCATTATCTGAAGAATTTAGAAAATACTTTAATATAACACTTGCATGAAAATTGTATAAGCTCTTCATGCCAGGCAGTGTTTCAGCATGCTCCCCAACTGCACACAAACAAAAAACATATGACAAAATGTTGTCTCCCAACTGACTGAAGTATTTCTTCCTGGCACAGAAAAGCACTTAGTTAACTGCTGTGAGTCTGTGCCAACAGAAGTATTCCACCCACTTCCAAGCACAAAGTTCAAACCTGAACAAAAATACACTTCAGAAACGTGCAGCTTCTGAAATACAAGGAGTACGCCTGAGCAACTCGTTTTAAACTCTGAGCTACTTAGTGAGCTGAAAGAACTGATAAAGTGTTGGACAAGTCCAACTACAGTGTGTGTCTCTTGAGCACGTTTGGAAAAAGTGGAAAGGGTGAAAATACTTTCCAAAATAGTATCACAGCAGTAAATCCATGTTAGCCTAACATATGCACACAGAATTAGGGAAAGAAAAGACTACACTGAAGGTTTAATGTGTCTCAGTTTCTTTCTGTTGTGGTATTCACCTGTATGGCCAAGTTCTTCAGTTCTAGATACCATAATCACCCAGAGGGAGAGAGTCTGAAATGCCCAGAACTGTGGGGACACACAAGTAGTACAGTCTAATACTCTATGTAAGGTGAAGAGCCCCCTTGCCTTTAATTTTTAAGAGGTGATAACTAATATTGGCCAAATTCCAAACATCACAACCTACTAAAATCTAGCAATTTGTTCCATGGCTGATGCAAAATCCACAATAAAATCAATTTTTTCATATTATTTAAGCATACAGCTAAACCAAGTTATTTGTACACAAGACTTGATGTCTTATAAGAAGAGCTTCCAGTGTTTTGTACTTTAATGCTCACAAGACAGGAGAAAACAGGCTAAGACCAACTTGCCCCCTTCCTAAGTAATCTCAGAAAAACCCAGGCACTTAGATCACACTTGCTCTGAAAAGCAGACACATTAACAGACAATAATTATAATGAGAAGGTATATTGTATGCATTTTTTCCCCCCTCAGACAAGGCCTACCTGTTTCCTTTTTGTGGCCCTTGCAGCAGGATTCTTCCTTCCTTTACCACCTTCCACGTTTCTTAAAACATTGATGAAATCTTTCTTTGAAACAGATGACAGCAGTTTAGCACGCCGCCTGTCAGAGCTCCCAGCTTTCTTCACTTTCTCATCCACATTCTTCTGGTGCATCCTGACAGCATTAAATAATTGTACAACACCTCTAGGATGGGGGGGGGGAAAAAAAAAAAAAAATCAACAAAAAAAATCAAAAGTTTTTAATTCAAGTTACCTTTACAGAAATGAACCCTCTACCAAAGCCTTTAATCAGTACAGATGCTGGACAGTTACTCAGAACCTCAACTCAGTTAAGAGGTGACATGAACATAAGAGACTTTCAGTTTTCACTCTTCCTTCACATTTATTGCTAGGAACCAGTAAGAAATTAATTGACAAACACCTATTCAGACACTGAAGTAAGCACAGTAACATGGCACTGAGATCAATGCAAGAACATGTTAATCTTCCTGCAATGAGCTATTGAATTCTTCACGCAAGATCTTAAAGAGTAGCTGAAGTAGAGGAACAAGGCAGAGGAACGAGTAAGGAGGCAGATACAGACAGAACATCAAGGTGTTCAACTAGTTCTGTGAATCCAAACCACCACAAGGCAGAACAGGCAAATGAACTCAATCCTCTGCAGAGAAGGAAAAAACAGAACAGCAGAAACAACTGTTCCGCATTTTTAAAGCATTAAATTAACAAAATGAGGCGATACAACAAAGCACTTCTGTTTAAGCAAACCTTCATTACATTCTCATCTCAATTTTTACTCTTTCATAAAGCTTCTGAAATCTTTTGTTGAACTTGATACTGCACAATACAGGCCTGTATATAAATCAGTCGGCTCCTGCTAGTCACTTCTTGAGAGTTCAATCTGATTGGAAACAGATTACCTGCACAGGCCTTTTCTTCCCCTTTCCTCCTTTTTTTGATATACACAAGTTAAAGGAAAGCATTCAGAGAAACTCTTACCTTGTAGCAATTCTCTGAAGATTTCTTTCTTTGTCTCGGTCTTTGACAACATCTGGCTTCACTCGGCACATCATTTCCCACTCCCGCTTCTTATCGAGCTGCATTATAAATATTGTCACGTGAAACAACACGGAGTGTTTGAGAATGGAGCCTACTCTGATAGAGCACGTAGCAAGAGGGGGGAAAAAAAAGATAAGTTTGGTTTGAGGCTAACAGGAACTCCAGTATGGAGCTGGACAACAGGTCTGAGGAAAGTCTCTTGCGCTGACACATCAGGGGCCACAGTCAAACCTCAAAGAGTCACTTGCCTTCTGTAACAAAAACTAGAAATAAGAGTCACACTAGAGTGATGCCTCTGGCTCAAGGCAAACAAAGGGAGTCTAGAAAAACTCCAGTGTTCTTTTTTCACATTGACTGCTACAGACAAGGAAATTATTCAAAGATAGCTTTCAACTCCAAGGCTTCTCAATCTGATCACAGAGGAATTTATACATAATAAATCCCTGGGTCTATCAAGATAGGCATGTTGCATTTTGAGCCTTGGGAATTTTACTTCCCCTGCTGAATTAATCACAGTACAACTCCGTGCCTGACAGCGACACCCAGCAAAGCCTATAGCAGGAAGAAAAGCATCAAGAAGAGCACAAGTGCCCACCACAGAACAACTCTTGTGCACAAAACTGATTTTTCTCTTATTTTTGAGGCTGTTTCAAAACCAAAACTGATGCACTTTCCCATTACCAGAGGCCACAAACACCACCAGCTTTTTTTTGCTACAATAGCAGAACACAGTTATTTCCCTAGACTCTGCTTCAGGAGTAAGCTAGTGATTTTTTTTTTTCCCCCTTCTAATAATTGAACAGTAATCTAGTCCTGGTGATTCTACTTTAAGTTTGTTTTATGCAAGAAATTTTGTGTGGAATTTCAGAGTCCTTGTCTTTATAATCCCAGATGACTACTATGAATTTTTGAGTTTATAACCAGGTTTTGGCCTTTTACCAAAAGAACTGCCCTATTGTAGCTTCCATTAGCAATAAATTAATAGAAGACAGGCTGTTCTCAAGTTTTAATAAGGGCAAACAAGTCAGTTTGAGGACCTGCAGCTCACTTTTGCTTTGCAGTACTCCCATTTATTTAGTGGATGAGAACAGGTATTTAGGACAAACATAACTGAGCAGATGCCATACTGAAGCTCTCTGTATTCAAAAGGCAGGCCATGGCATAACCACAGCATGTCCCACACTGTCAGGTAGATAACCTGGCTGTCTTACTGAAACAGAACTGGTGAGATGAGACATTAAGACTATTAATGTATTTTTAGCCTGAAGGTAAGACAATCACAATGTAGAATTAGAAGTTCCACTAAAGACACAGAAACAAATTACTTAATTGCCAACATACTTTTGTTTGCTTCCTAACAGCTTCAGAACTGGAAGCAATCTAGGGGATGGACATTGTAACGGAAACCCCGGGAAAATCAAGAGGGGAGCAAACAAGGATTGAAAACCACAGGAGTGATTACTGCAAACTCAACCTAGAGGCCTTGAATTCTGAAAGTCACAGGAGAATTTCAATTAAAATAGTTTTCTTCTCTTTCTCCCTCTCACTTTCAATGAGAGAGAACTACTTTAACTAACAATGCTGACAAAGTGAATTATACTCCAAATTAACAACAGCAATTAGAAAACTAAGCTTAAAGCAGCTGCTCTTACCCTCTCAACAAAAACACCTTAAGTTGAAGACTGGAACAGTCTTGCTGCCAAAAATCAGTCTGCCTGATAGCCCAGAAAAAGCAGTAAGGGAAAGCCCTACAACATGACTGTCAGGAAAGGAAAAAAAAAATTGAAGCTACTTGAGATCACTACAGAGGAGAGATTCCAAAACTGAGACAGTCTTAGAGCACTCTCCCAAATCCTCACTGAGGGGCTCTTGCTTGTATCCCAATTTGATTGTGATTGCACAATAAATACTGCATCATTTTTCTCACCTTCATTCTCTTCTCCAGCCTTTCCTGTTTTTCCTTCTGTCTCTCCTTCTCCAGCTTTTTATTCTTAGCCAAGATGGTGGACTTATTTTGAGGAATTTTTTTGTCGAGCACTTTTGCCATAGCATCTGCCCAGCCTGAACTTGGGCCAGCTTTGGAGCTTGTTGCCTCTTCAGCGACATTGCCAGGGGCTGATGTTTCATCTTCATCATCACCATCCACGGCTTCACCACCTGAAGAGTAGCTGTCTTCTGGAAGTTCTGAGCTTAAATCAGAATATAGGGGTAAAAAAAAAAAAAAAAAAAAAAAAAAAAATCGAACAAAAAAGAAATATCAGGAGTTCTGACCCACCACTAGCTTAATTTGCTCCAAACTGTTTGCTGTTACAATTAATTCCTCAAGCAGGCATACACCACGATAAGAAATTTCTTGGAAGTATTCAATGCAAGTGTTTCCTCATCTTGGTGATGACTTAAAGTTATTTAAAAGGCTGGGTGAAAGGGAAAAAGCAGTACTGGAAATTTATTATTAATAAAGATTTTCATACTTAGGTGTGGCAAGTTCAGGGAAAAAAATATTTTCCAATTAAAAAATTACAATATATAAATGCACATACACACACAGGCATGCATAGGTGTATGTATGTGTATGTACACACTTATATACTAACTGCAACAGTGACATCTAGTGCTTAAAAGCAAACAGCCACAGGAACTGAACTTGAATGAAAGCAAAACCTGCTCAAGGAAAGTAATACCAGCAAAAAATATGATTACTTAAGCATAATGAACAAGGAAGAGTGCTTTGTGATATACAGAATCAAGACCACTGTCAGGTAGCTCAAAGGAAAACAAAGGCACTGAGCTTTTCTGATGTAAGTAATGGCTCAAATTCTTGATACACAAACAAAACTCTATGCCCTTTTCAAAACAGAAAAGAAGGAATAAAGTATTTTAGAAAACTGAAGTCTGGAATCAAGCAACAGCAAGACAGGAGAGAACAGCCAACTAGAGGGCAAATCAAATACATTAAGACTCAACCATTTCTCTTATTAGTATCTTCAGTAGGTCAAACAGCAAAAGTAAAGTCTTACATGCTGCAGACGATTAAGTAGAATGAAATGGACTGCAAGCTTAGGGTGTGCTAAAAGATGTTTGCTTATTTCTGTGGACCCACTTTATCCCATAATCAACCCACTATTAGCTACTATTCCATCAGTATTTGTACCATGCAGAAGTTTCAAATGCATTATGCTACATCCAAATTTCAAGGCTGCCAATCAGTGCTGGGCAAAAGGAGGCTGGTTTCTGACACCTCTGCTCTCCCACCAGCAAGGGGACAATTCCCCACCAGCTCACTGGCCATCATCCATCTACCACTCTCACATTACAAAAACTGCATTTTTGATATAAAAATGTTAAGCACTACTGACCCAAGTACTTCACTTTGTAAGCACCACTATATGCCACGAACTGCCTTTATCAACCAAATCATGAAAAGAATAAAGTCAGGGCTGCTTCACTAGATCTGTTTTCTGTAAAACCATGCAGACAGCTCTAAGTGATACTCCTTATTAACCAACTTTCTATTTAAATATTTAACAAACATAAACATACACTCTGTTGCCAGACTAACTCCTTACTCTGCCTTCTCCATGTACCTTTTTGAACCAGCCAAAAAACCAAAACAACATAGCAGCAAAACAGTGGAGTTAAAGAAGCAAAAACAAAACCTCTAATGCCCAGGCACGTTTAGAGGCTTGGAGAGCATTTAGTTATCATCATGGAAAGGAGGAAGATTATGTTTACACCACAAATGTGGAGTATAAATACCTACTGAATACCTGCTCATTATCTACATCAGTATGATTTTTACTACCACCAAGGCAAACACCATGTTGTGTCACATTCCATGTAGGATAAATTATGGAGTCTTTTTAACCGTCCTTACCATAAATTGGAAATTTAGAAGTGGGAAAGTTGTTCAATACATTCAGAAACAATTAAAGGCATCCCTTATAAGGTATGTCTCCATATCCAGACTTCCAAATTAAAAAATAAATAAATTTAAAAACCAAACAATTACATGTAAAGAAGTAGACCCATCACCACATCCTGATTCCTACACCCAAAACAAGTTGCCAAGTTTTCACCTCTAATCCTTATCCATCCTTACCTCTATCTAGTTTTTAAACAAGGAATTAAACTCTACTTGCAACTTTTTATACATACAAAAGCTAACAGCTACCAAAAGTCCAAACCTGAATTCCCCACACACTGCTTAGGACCAACTTCCACAGTCATACCAAATCAAACTTATAAAAATAGCACGTGTCAGTCTCCATTATGCTCCTGTTCTATTAGCAGAAATGTAACACTGGATAATACCAACATTTTGCTTTCAACAATCACAGAAAGATGAATAAGGTTTCAACAACCTGCCATGGCTTCTTCTTTAATACATCAGAGGATCTGTCAACAGCATAAGACAAAGCAAAGTTACTTCAAAGTAATCTAAACTACCATTAATTCTAGCAGAAGTAGAACCTCGGGCTCTATGCTGAACTGCAAAGATAGAAGCATGGCACAGACTTAATACAGAAGTTGTGTTTTAGGGGAGCAGCAGGGAATACACATGTACATCTCCATTCTGTATTCTTCTACACTTGTTCAGTGATCCAGATGTAGACGTACACAATTAAAAATAGCAGCCATTCAGAAAGGAGCTCTGAAAGAAGCTCCCACGCAAGGCTTCTCCTTGGTTTCAGTTTTGACCCTCACAGCAAACAGAACCACTGTGAGCACTGACTTCAAATAGCCACACACCTGATTGCTCCCAGAATGAAGAGAAAAAACAGTATTAAATAATACAACGAAGACCTGCCCACAGACTAGGCGTGCCCTCCACCACACGCACATGCCAGGAGGAGCAGAGAATCACGTGTAAAGGACGGAGCACGGGGTGTGTTTATGCCGCGTTTGTTCCCCGCGCTCTCCTGCCGGATTACTACACCTGGCGCATCTCCCGGGCTTCCATCCGAGCAGGAAGCTGCTCCCCGCCCCGCCGGGCAGGGCAGAGGGAGACACACACCCCCCCGTACCCCAACAAACGGGCACTCCCGGCGCAAGTTACTTCGGCAGGCCCAGGGAACGCGCCGGCTGCTGCCGGGTCCCTACGGGCTAAGCGGAGAACACCCGACAGCGTCAGGCCCGCA